TGGCCTACAGGCCGAGGCATGCACAGGCCCAGCTCAGATCACCTTGGTTCTGCCAGTCCCATCTGTTTCCCTCGTGTCAGGCACAAAGGTCATAAAAACAAATAAGAAAATAAATGCCCAATGTCACCCTGATTCTTAGAGCTGGCACTCTTATCAGGCTAAAGTTTCATGCCTCACTCCACAAATTAAATCTTCCAAATCATTGCTGCCATTAAACTACCCTGGGGTGTGGAAAGAGGGTTTCTCTGTGTGGCTCCACAGAGCAGGCTGGCCTAGAACTCAGAGACTTACCTGCCTCTGCCACTCAATTAAATGCACGCACCACCACTGCCTGGCTTATTTATTAAGACATGGTCTTACTATATAGTCCTGGCTACCCTAAAACTTAAGAGATCTATCTGTCCCCTGCTTCCTGAATGCTGGGATTAAAGGCATTTGCTACCATGCCCAGGGGGAGGTCTACCCTTAAACCTCAGCAAATTATCTATCAAAAAGATCTGGCATTAATCAATCAGCCTATTCAGAACTCGGGCTCACCTGTTGGATTTAAATTAAATTCCCGTGCTCCTACCCCCAAAAAAAAAGAGAAAAAGAAAAAAAAGGACAAATCAGCTCTGTAATTTAATCTTAACTATAATAGCCCTACTTTAAACTCTTTTTGTGGAATTATGGGACCCTCACCTAGGAAGACCATGCTACTTCAGGACAGAAAGCCAGATCAAAGGATCTCCTGGCCTCCACTGCAGCTTTGCAGAGCAGAGAACTAGTTTGAGCCAAAAGGAGGAGTTCTGGGAGAAGTTTCTGTTCTGCTGGCACACGGTGCCTCCTTAGCAGGCTTAAGTGGCCAGGGTTTCCGGGAGTGATGCCCACGCTCTGGACCCTGGCTTAGGAGCCCAGGGAACCAGGTGTAAGCAGAATGCACAATGGCCTCCACGACTGGAAGCACAGGCTCAGCATTTAAAGGAGTGCCCCGAACCACAGTGGGGGAGGGGAATTAATGCGGGAAGGCAGCACCAGCTGTCCAATAGCACTGACCTACTTACCGTGAGTGCCTGCCTACAGTGACCGTTATAGGGCTGCAACTACTGCCTCTCTTCCCAAGGGGGAGTAGAACTCCAAATTCCACACTTCTACCACCCAGAACTCAGCATCAATACTGACTTGTATTTTTAGACTTTCCAAAAATAAAAGTATTCTGACTTTATTCAATCCATAAATATTTCATTCTTCCATCCCCTGACTTCTCGAACCCTTCTACAGAGCTTGGGGTGTTCTCAAATTCAAGATCCGCCTGCCTCTGTCTCCTGAGATTAAAAGCATGTGCCACCACACCCAGCCCTTCCCTACTTCTTAATCTGAAGTTTGAACTCCTCCAAAATGGACATGGCACAAGGTCAAATCTTTTACATCCAGTGGTTTAAAGTCAAAATGTTTGGAAAGGATGTAGCTTCCTTTAAAAACTTAGTTGGCTTTGAGAAAGAGGCTCAAGATCCCCAGACCTCAATGGAGAAGTAGGGGGCGTCTCAGAGGCCACTGGAGGTACTGCAGTTTAGACCTCCCTCGTACGTGCAGACAGGCACAAACTACAGCAGGGGCGTGACCTCACTGCACAGATTGGTGGCTGTAAGACCACCCCCAGTCCTGAGCTGAGCTGTTACAATAGGCCTCAAGAGTCAGCAGAGGTTTGCAGGACCCCAGCCACGTGGGCTCACCTCTCCTATTTGACTACTCCATATCCAGTCTAAGTCTGGTTCTTGCTAAAAATTGCAAGATCCAAGTATCATGTCAGGAAGAATGGTCCTCATACAGTCTGTCATTTATTCCGGTCTGCACCCAAGTGAAGTTTACAGGGATGACTCAGCCCTTAAGTACTCTTACCAGAACAGTAAAAATCTCACAGGCACCAACTCATTCTTGTAGTTACCAGTTAACTCGGCTGTGGATATTTGGGATGATTCAGAAACTGAAAGACAAGTGACTCATTTTCCTCTACCTCAACCTTAGTTCTTGGCCAACTCATCTTGACTTCCTGCAGAAAAGCTAAAACAAAAGACACTAAAAACCCAAGTAATATGAATTTAATGCAAGAGATTTTTCCCCCTAGCTTTCTGTACATGGCTGTTTCCTCATTTCTTCTACTATTAAGAAATCAACAGCTTTGAGAAATAGGTGTCTTTTCCTGTGACCAACGCCTTCACGTCACACACACAGATGGCATATCCAACTCCAATGCGATTTGAATAGTAGCCAGCTATAAAATGTGCCAAGTCACTCACTGGGGGATAAGGTCCTTTTCTTTTGAGACAGATCTTCACTATTAGCCCAGACTGGTCTGAACATATAGCCATCTGCCAGTGAGTCTCCAGAGTACTGGGATATGTTCCATGAGAGGCTGCCGAGCCTATCATTCAAGCACGATGGTGTACAGACCCTGCATTTTGCTGCACCCACGCACTTGGGACAGGGTTTCACAGCTTGGCTGGTCTAAAACTCAACGAGATCCTGTCCTGGCCCTGCTCTTCAGTGCTGGAATTAAAAAGTTGTGTGCAGCACCACACTCAGCCTGGGCGGGACCTGTTAATTTAGGGAAATGCACACTAGTTCAGTATTTGACTTACTAAATAGGGGACCTCACTACATCTGGGAGAACCAGGTTTCCCACTCACCCAAGGAAGAGAATCTTTTCAAACGCCTCTAAGTTGAAAAGCTGAGTCATCTTGCCCAGACCCGGTGATGGTTTACACTTACTTCACCTTCCCACAGGACTACTGCCTTACCTACAGCATCCTCAGGCCACCAGAAGGCAAATTGTTGCCTAACAATGGTACCTTGAATCCTAACCCAAGGTCCTCCCCCCTCCTGCACCCTAGAAAGTGCCACACCCTGAGTATTGTGGCAACAAAACTTACTGCAATAGCCTCCATACCTAACTTCCTACAAGTCAGCAGGATGAACGGTCTTACATTGACCAGTCAGGAACGAGAATCAGAAGACATGGATCTGATATCTGCCTCTTTGTTTCTACCCTTACAGAGGAAGACAATGGACGCCACATTTCTCCCTTTAGACTGCAAGCTCCTTTCTCAGGAGGGTTTGTTACATTGTAAACACCTACTGGACTCCAAAGAGAATTCGTTTCCAGGGGAGACTGGGTATTCAGTGCCTTTCTGTCTCCCTAAGCTTAGCCTCAATACGTATAGGAACAGGAGGAAGGCCTTCAACCTAACAGTATCTCATTCATTGAGAAAAAAGGAATATGTATGCTCTTCTGGGCACTTCACCCCAAGATTAGTCACTGCATTGAATATGCCCCCTACTTACACGGAGACCAGTAACTTCAGTAGCCTGGAGCAATCGTCTTTACTCGTGACACAGGACCAGAGGCTGAACCACCTCAGAAAATAAATAAATCAACCGGATTCCAACAACCTGTTTATATCCCCCCCGCTGCCCACAAGCAGAACTGTCCCTTCACCGAGGCTCTTAATCCTATCAATCTCCTTCGGTTTAGAAGAGGTGATCGAGAGACATCTTTTCATGACTGGGTTTTTAAGTAACCTTCAGACTAGGTGCTTTCCTGCTTCTTCAAACCCAACGTGCGGACCACCCTGTGCAGCTCCATCTTCACCACAGTACTGACTTGACAAATTTTGCTTCCCTATTTAGACTGAGTTCTGTGGGCTCCAGTTCCACCCGGAAACCTCTCTCGGTTGATCGCCCCCCCCACCCTTTCCCCAGCACGTGGGCGCGGCGCGACAGGCTGGTCCAGACGCCCTGCCGTACGTGCAGCCCCGCCACCGCAGGATGGAGCGCGCGAGAGCTTGCAGGCGCACCGCAGGGTTTGGTAGCCCGGACCACCAGTGCCTAGCCGGCAACCAGAAGAATCTGCGGTCGCACAAAATAGGACGGAATAGCGGCCAATCGTTCTTGCCCCGCCACCGGGAAGACTGACGTTACGTAACCCGCAGCTACATCTCCCGGACGGCCATTGACTGCATCCTACCTACACGCACCGGACCACGAGGGCTAGCAGGGACTCGGCGGACGTGACTAGAATGCGGGGGGCGGGGGAAGTTGCGCGGAGGGGGAGGGGCGAGGATCCGGATGCTGAAGGGATGCAGTGCCGCGGACGTGACCGGAATGGGGGGGAGGGGCGACCCGGAGTAGCGAATACAGGCGCGGGAAGAGCACACTGACCTGAATGGAGGATAAATGCGGGGCACAAGGGGGGAGCGGCAGAGTTATTTCAAGGAGAGATTATAAGGAGGTCACCGAAGGAGGGAGGGGAAGAGCACAGAGCTAAAAAGGGCGAAAGAACTATTAGTGAATGTAGGAGGATGAGCATCGGAGAAGAATGGGAATGAACAGGGTGGAGAGGATGGCAGCATTAAGATAAGAGGGTAGAACCAGATTGAGAAGGAAGAGAGGCCAGAACTAGCGTGTGGTGAAGAAGCTGTAAGGCCTCTCTGTATTTGGAAGTTCAGGACCTGGGCTCGAGTGTAGCTTCTCCCCCAACCCGGACAGGGATGCACGATGCCAGGCGCCTGGGTCCCGCGTGGGCAGGCAGGCCTGCGTTACCCAGAGGCGGGCGTCGGCCCTGGGCACAGAAGGCGTAGGTTCTCCCCTCTCACCTCGGGCGTACTCCGGATCCTGCAGCGATACCAAAGTCTGACGACTGAAGGGTCAGGACGAGTCTCTGCTGTGCGGGACTGCGCCTCTTGGGCCTCAAGGTTATCCTACTGCGGGCCACCGCAATCCCTCCGCAGCCCCGCCCCTCGCCCAATCCCCGCGGCGGCCAGCGGCGCCCCGCCTCTCGCGTCTCGCTGGGCGTCCGCACCTTGGAGAGAAGCGCGGTGGAGGCGGGACAGACAGGTTGCCCTTTAAAGGAGGACTACCTTCCGTGGCGGAAGGACACAGTCATCCAAAATTGCGCATGGGACGATCAGATAGCCAATGGGGAAGTGGTGAGGGCGCAGGGCCCGCCCTTGGAGACCGGGACACCACCACCCGCAGTTCCCCAGGCGCCGGGGCCACCTGTTGTCTTAGCTTGTGGAAGCTTCTTTTATAGGGCTCCCTTTTTGGCCCTCTGCCCAGGTCGCCCCATCTGCCCTGGATTACCAGTGCGGTGCCCAGATTTATATGTCCCCTAACATTTCTCCCAGCCCCGCCCAAAGTCTCTCCACTCTTCCGTTGGCCGCCCCAGAGCACCCTCCGGGAAGCTGGGGTGATGTGAGCAGAGGGTGGTCGGAGGTCTGGATTGCCTCCCAAACCTCAGAGGCCGGGTAAGGGGAACTTGGGACCCTGTTGCTGGAGTGTGAGTGCGGCCTCATAACAAGAAAGGAAGGGTTGGGGCCATGTTAATACTTTCATTAAGATCTTGAATCCTGCACTGTTAAGTGCCTTGGAGCAGAAAACCAATTTAAGGTTAATCAGTGCAGAACTGACCATCGTGTAGCAAATATCTATGCAGGAGTCAACACTGGTATTCTACTCAGTCATGTATTTAAATCTGTAGTATAGGGACCTTAATTTGTCCCCTACAAGGTATTTTCTAATTTCCCAATTCTAGTCTTAACCAGAGTACTTACCAAGCTGAGTCTGTTAACACTGGTCTTCATTCAGCAAAGTTTTGAAAGCAGATACAATGTTGCTACATTCTAAACCTGAACGAAGACTGTCTCTTAGGTTAGGTTTGGGTTTTTGTTTTTTGGTTCTTTTCTTGGGAAAAGAAGGGTGTGAAGCACTCAAGCAGACACCTTTGTGACTTAATCACAGATCTTTATTCCACTTTGTCAGTTTAGATTAGGGCAGGGTGACAGTATAAATGGAGCTTGTAGTGAAATACTGTCTTTTCATTCCCTCTGAAAGCCTTTTGTGGTCCCCTTAATTTAGGCAAAGTAAATGCTTGGTTATTCACATAGAAAAAGAACATGAAGTTGAAAGAAAACAATCAGATCTACAGGGAGAATCAAATTCCCTCTGTCAAGAGAAAGGGGTAGAAGAAATGACATGACCCTCTTTGTATCCTGGGCTGAAAAAAAAAAAAAGAACCATGGTGATAGCTATCTACTCATGCTGAGGTCTACTGTGCATAATGTGACCCAAAGTTCTAAATCTAACTGGGAATCAGGCATAGTGGCTCACACCTGTAATCCCAGCACTTCAGAGGCTGGGACTGGAGAAACTGCGGAGTCCAAGGTCAGCTTGAGATACACAGTGAGCTCTAGGCAAATCCAGGTTAGGATCTCTGTCTCTGTCTCTCTCTCTCTCTCTCTCTCACACACACACTACCATCACCACAAATCTAGGTAAAAAGCTAGGTGTGCCCAAGTCTGTGATCTTGGCACTTATGAGACTGAGGCAGGACTGGAGGCCAAGCTGGGTATAGTCCCAGGATTACCATGAATATCCACTAAACTGGAGAATTGGTGGCAGCTGAGAATTGTCTATCATCTGCAAGTTTCAGAGATGTGACAGTTACACAAATGGGGTTCATGGAAGTGGCAGACTACAGCCTGTCTTATTTAACATTAGATGTCAAAATGTGTTATAGTGACTTCTTAAGGGTTACTGTCTTGGTTTTGCTGAGAAGTCAGCATGAAATAGAAGCGTAAGGTAAGGTTGTATCTTATCTTTGTTCTAGTTTTAATCTCTAGCCCTGTGACTATACCTGTAATTTAACAAGTAGAGTCTGTTAAAAGTAATCTGAGGACAATTTCTATTTAACAGGGTGGAGTTTGATCAGTTAAGTATATATGTGAATGAGTCCAACAGTGCCCAACAGGCACCTTCTCCCTTTGGTAACTGCCTGTCTTAAAGGGCTTTCTTGGCGACCAGGGCAGAACAACTTTCTGAATTCAGATTTACCTTCTTGGAGCCATCCCTCTGGGACTGCACTCCATTGATCTACAGCAACCCCAAGACTACTGACTTGATCAGGATGGGAAAGTGCACTGCAAGATTCACTCACTCACTGCAGATTTTTGGTCAAGTCCACAGAATCTGATTTAATGGCTCAAAAGTTCTTCTTTTTTTTTAAAAAAAAAAAAGATTTATTTATTTATTATGTACAACATTCTGTCTGTGTGTATGTCTGCAGGCCAGAAGAGGGCACCAGACCTCATTACAGGTGGTTGTGAGCCACCATGTGGTTGCCGGGAATTGAACTCAGGACCTTTGGAAGAGCAGGCAATGCTCTTAACCACTGAGCCATCTCTCCAGCCCCCAGCTCAAAAGTTCTTAAAATTAAATGTGAGTTCTTGGGGGAAGGGTAAGTCAAAAAAATCATATACCAACCCAGTAGCCTCAAAATAAACTTTAGCCCTGGTGAAATGGTGAGATTATAAGCCGCCCCATATTGATCTCTTCGTCTCTGGAAATGGCAGTGTTATTTCTAAGGACAAAACAGACTACTAGAGCTACTCACAAGCCTTGAACATCAAGTCGAAAGCAGAACTAGAGCTGTTGGACTTGTTTTTGAAACAGTCTTACTCTGTAGTCCACAATGATCTTAAATTCATAGATTATAGGAGGTATTTACCACCATACCCAGTAGGCCTTTTCATGCCATGCCTTCTTCAGGCGTCTAAAAAATTCTTTCACAATGGTAGGGCAAAGTTTCCCCAGAGGAACCCTGAAAAGGAGAAAATGATGGATTTTTGGAGTTAGGGATAAAACGAGCTGTCTCTGTTAGAAAGGGGAGGCTTCAAGTAGGAGAAAACATTTGAGTTTCACATGGGAAGTCAGCATAGGTATGGAGAGCTTCTAAAAGATGTTCAGTATTCCGTAAGTGAATGTAATTTCAGTAAATACAGGAAGATTTCTGAATGTGGCTATGTGTCTGGGCTTTCCCAGCATCTTGCAAATGCTGCATCAGCAATGAGAAGCAGGAAGAGATAAGCATGGAGTCCTTACTCACTCTGTAAAGCACCATCTCAGCCACAGAGGCCTTGTCACTCGACGTGACCTCCAACGTTTTTCTATCCCAGAACTTCCAAGACTCATTTTAAAAAGGCCTTTTAGAGTGACGTAATCTACCCACCCAATTACTCCCTAGAGGTCTTGTGCTCCCCTTTCTCCCTACATTTGTAGCTCAAGCTCACTGGTATGCAAACTGGAGAGTTAGCAGAATCTACCTCTAGTCCATCTGGACATAGAGTCAGCCACTTTCAGCTCCAAGGAGGACCGACAGGGAAAGAGCCTGACACAACAGCTGTGTAATGAGACTGGGGACAGGGTGTCAGTCAAGCTGTGGAGACCAAGGGGTCATGACGGACAAGATGACACACACCAGAAAAGTCATCCAAGTAGTGAAGTCACATGGTCTATCAGGACGGTTCCCTTACAGAAAAGTCAGTTCTAAACTCAGAGCTTCAGAAGTTCTGCGACCACTGCTTTTCCCTCTCTATCTTCTATAGTTCTGTACCGTTCTGAAGTGAGTATATCCCCAGGTTGGCTGCTAGGTCAGGAGCCACCAGACACTGTGAAAATAATAAAATCATTACCTCAGAAATAGGGAAGGAAACCTACAGCTCAGAAGAAATGGACTTTATCCAATGAGGAAGTCCAGAATGATCATTGTGACTGCTGTTAGTTATCAGATTAATTACCTTTCCAGTAGGAACTTCCAAAATGATAAGTGAAAATTTTTTTTATTAAGCAATCTTAATAAATATTCTGGAAAAATAAAAGGAAAGACCAGGTAACAACAGATCAAGTGCCCTCCTCCCAAGAAGTCCTACCTTTTCTTTACAGGTGTCAACCTATGTGTCTGTCCTTATAGACTGGCTGTCTGCTACCTCACTCACTCATGGCAAGGGCAAGTAAAATCGAAGAGACTGCAGGCTCTCTCCTGTGTAAAACCGTTTTTTTTTTTCTTCAAAGTTTTAAAGGTTTTTAAAGGTTAGCATCTCTGGCACTATGGGGGCAAGAGGGTGGGTGGTCTTAAACTCAATCTGGGGAAAGTCCTACATATGCTCTAGAGGCCAATGCCTCTTCTAATGAACTGAAGTCTACCTTCTTCTCATTTCTGGGCTGGAGGGCTCCCGTGGAATTTTGTGATCCACAGAACTGCCTCCCACCTATAAGAAGCCAAGCTATCCCTAGATGCTACCTAGAATAATGCTGTGAGCTGGTAAGAACCAGTAATGACTCAGCACCAGCCTCTGCTCTTTCCCAGCTGGAACTAAAAGCAGAAGCTAGCTCCTCCGCAGCTGACGGCCACATCCTTACCACAAACTGAGTTATGGCCACACCCAGCCTGGATGGAAAACTACCAGGAAAGGAGGGAAGGTGAATTTTGAGTCCAAAATCACACACGGCTATATACTCTCCATCTGGCAGTAATTGAGAAAAACAGTTCCTTTTCCTGGCCCTGTCTCTATTTAAGCATGTCTAGATCTAAGTGAAGCAAGAATGCCTACACTCAGATAAGTGGAATGTGGACAGGCACTGTGTGTGCAGTTAAGAGCCCTGCCCTCTGTGAAGAATGCTGTCTTGTAGCTCACAGGTCTTCATGAAAACCAGACCTCTCACCTTCAAAGTAGCCGGGCCCTCAATTTTCCAAGCTGTGAGAGCATAGCTCTACAGAAACACAGAACCCCTACCAAGTACGCTTCTCTGCAAGGAGGGCATTCTTCTGTCTGATAAAGCTTTTTCTTCTTCCTTATAGTGCTGAAGAATGAACCCAGAGCTTGAACGTGTGAAGCAGAAGTACTAGTGCTGAGTCACAGGCCGTTTTCAGAAAGCATTCTTGATTTTGGTTAACATTTTTAAATTTCATGTTTTGAATCATAAGGCCTTATGAACTTCTGAGATCAGCTTTTTAGGAGAGAACTATAAAATGATATACATAATTTTATTGATATAAAAAGGCCATTATTATGTTGTGGGTTTATTTCTTTTCTTCTTCTTTTCTTTTTTTTTCCGAGACAGGATTTCTCTGTGTAACAGCCCTGACTGTCCTGGAACTCAAGCTATAGACGAGAATGGCCTCAAACTCACAGAGATCTGCCTGGCTCTGTCTCCTGAGTGAGGGGATTACAGGCATATGCCACCACCATTCAGCCTGTTGTGCTATTTAAAAACAAACAAACAAACAAAAAACCAGAATGATACCACAAGGATAGCTCAGCTATTGGAGTTTTGGGGGCAAAATAAGCTAGTTTTTCATTTCTTCTCATACCACCATTTGCTAGCATTTGTAGGGCAGGTGTTGGAATGTTGGCATGTGGGAAAAATTTCCTATTTTCTGAAATTGTCAAAAATGTTTTATGTGAGCAGTCACATACCTAGGTCCAGGAAGGGAATCAGCTGATTGAACATTCTAGGTGCCCAGTGTGTTAGAGGACACCTTTAATCTCAGCACTCTGGAGGTAGAGACAGTAGATTTCTGTAAGTTGGGGACCTGCTTGGTCTACACAGCGAGTTCCAGGTCAGCCAGGGTTATACAGTAAAACCCTCTAGGATGTAGGACGACAAGAACTCAGGTTCTGGAGCTGGAAGGATCTGGTTAAAAACCCAGTCAGTTGTAAGACCCTAGGCCAGCAGTCCCAACCTGTGGGTAGCAACCCATTCATAGGGTTTACCTAAGACCATTCGTATATCAGATATTTACATTACAATTCTTAACAGTAGCAAAATTACAGTTATAAAGTAGGAATGGAAATAATTTTATGGTTGGGGTCACAACATGAGGAACTATATTAAAGGGTCACAGCATTAGGAAGGTTGAGAACCACTGTCCTAGACACATTTAAGATGAAGAAAACATGTCTCCTAGCTTTGCTATCAGCAGTAACTAGGGCTATAATCAGAGAACCAGAACAGGAATTCTGAAATGAGTCAGTTTACTACAATAAGCTATGGAATACACCAAATAACTTACCCTGTGAGATTATTTTCCATCTGCAAAATAGGAATAATGGTATCTATTTCTGAGGCTTTTGTGAGAATTATGACTCCAATATATGTAGGAATATCACAACAATAAATACAATATATACTTATACAATAATTTAAAACATGAACAAATTAATAAGGTGGTTTGCACACTACCTGGAAAATAATTTGTAAGAACTAAGTTATATTAGCTGTCTCTGGACTCAGCAGGGTCTTCAGTTGCATGTTTCCACTGACAGTCATTTATTTGGAGAACAGTTATTTGTCTTAGGCCTGAGTCTTAGAGGACTTGGGAGTATTGGGATATACTATGTCCTTTTGAGATGGGGGTCTTGCTAAATTCCTCGGGTTGGTCTTGTCATCCTGGGCTCAACTGAGTCTCCTGTGTTGGCACTCAGGGGATAAGCTAGGACTGTAGGTGGATACTATCATACTCATTTATAATGTACTTGAACGACAATGCAGAAATCCATCTCTGTGGGAAAGGGTCTTTAAGAGTGGTCTGAGGATCACAGAGGGCAGGAGCTAGTCTAGAGCAGGCTATGGAATCAAGAGCTATAGTAGAATTTGAAATCATATTGAAAAGCTGGGCTTTTAAAAAAACTTTGTGGTGTTTTCTGTGTTTACATTTTTGTTTTTAATTAATAATTCACAAAATATTTGGAAATGTTCAACATGTCTCAGCTATGGTTAGAATTAACTAAGGGAACCAACATGGTGGCTATGCCTTTAATCGCAGGACAGACAAAGGCAGGAGGTTCTGAGTTCAAGACTAGCTTGGTTTACACATAGTAAGTTTCAGGCCAGCCAGGGCTACATAAGAGAGACACTGTCTTAAAAATTAACCAAGACTTTTGGGTATATGGAACAAGTCTGAAAGGCCAGAAGCTTCCTTAGTAAGACAAACTCAATCCTCCAAGGCTAGCCAGTGTTAAAGAAAGGCAGGGGTTTCTGAATACCTACCTATTTAGAGAGTTCCAACTTCTTCTGAGGCGTTCCCACTCCAAACCCTAATAGCCTCTGGCCCCCTTAGGGCCTCATGCATACTAAGCAAGCACTTTACCACAGTGCTATACCCACAGCCCTAGACTAGCCTTTCTTAAAGGTTTCTCTTTCTCTTCAGGTTAGAGAACCCAGCTTCCTGCACCTGCCAACTTACCTCTTCACCTCACTTAATTAAAGCCAGGCAGGAGAAAGACTAAGGGTCCAGCCTCTAACACACGACACAGGGACGACTGACAGTGCTGGTTTTGTGTAAGGAAGCAGCTGGTCCTGAAGATTTGAAAAAAAAATTAAAGCTGCTCTGACAGTTTTAAATCTCCAGTAACTGTCATCAGTGGTATTCTCCTGTTTGTTTCATCTGTATAACTGATAAACTTCCCCTCTTTACTTAATATTTTTATTAAAAATATGGACAGATCTGTAGAATACAACACTGAAACCAAATGGATGCATCTTTCACTTCAGGAAATACAAATCGTCCCAACCTTCGGATAGTTCGCTCTCACAACACAACCCCTATCTAGGGCCTTGGCTAGGCGCTGGGCCAAGGCTAGCAGACCACAGTGATCATATCCAGTCCACAGCACCTTCCATTTTATTGTTTTATTTACAAACAGGGTGAAGTCAACTGGGCAAATCAGGGGTGGGAGTCAGTCAGGGCCATCCAAACGTGGAGTGGTTCTGGATCAATCTCCACCATGAAGGCCGCCTCTTCTATCCTTCTCTTGCCCCTTGAAATTTCTCAGGGCAGCCTCACCTGCTGCTCCTGAGCCCTTTTACAAGGGCAGATGAATCCTGGGGGAACAGGGTGATACGAGGGCTGGGGCCCCCCTCAGTTTGTGTAAACCTGAGTTCCGATCACACGCATGATTTCCTTCTGTATCTTGGGGTCCTGAGTATTAATGTTGGCATCGCCCACCTGCCCATCCTCATATCTGCCAAAGACAGGGAAGCGTGAGCACAAGGGAAGTATGATACCAACCCATATCCACCAGCAGAAGTGTTTCAAGACGTGACCATTTCATCCCAGAGTGAAAGATTTTGTCACTGCTCTTCAGGATAAAGGGATCAATCAGCTCAGCAGGTTTTTCTCTACACAGACCCCAATGATCTGTCTTTATCCCTAAGGGCAAAGTCCCAGTGCCAGCTAAATTAGACAGCAAGGGACAGGACTCCGACAACAAAAAATGAACACCCTCAGTAGCCACACACCATCTACCACCCTCACTCTTCAAGTAATACCAAGGGCTCCTTTTAGACTCACACAAAGAAGAACCTTGTGCAGACATGGTCGGACACAGGGCACACCCAAATGTTTCCATGCTTCTGAAGGTCCTTAGATGTAATCACTGGGGGAAGAGAGGCCAGAAGTCACAGATATAAAGCTTAAGGCGATCCAGGTAGGGAAGGAGAACATGTTGCTTCAGCATAACTTTTTGTTGAATCATGTGCCAAGGGAACAGCAGAAATAAAGGTTGGGGGTCCCAAAAAGACATGAACTGGGCGAACTGCATACCTTCACAAAGTGCAATACAGTTTAGATTCCGACTCTGCAGAAACCTTGACTGAATGGATCGGGTCTGAAATAGAAAGAAGCAGAGGAGAGCAGAGCAAGGTAAAATGTTAGAGCTTGCTCTCAAGAGGCTGTTTAGTTATCGGTGATAGGAACTGACTGGGGTGTGAACTGGGTCTCCTGAGCGTCCAGCTGCCCTCCAAATGTTTGCTTACATAGAATTACCCCGGTGGGGCCACAGTTTCCATGTTCATCTTTTCATTTAATCTGCCTTTGCTTTCATATGACTTTGTTCTCAGATAACATAGGACTGAAGTAAGATCATTTTATAACATACCTTTAAATGACCTACAATGGCCCTATGCTCCACTGTTCTCATTATTTTAGCAGGATCCAGGAAAAGGTCCTAACTCAAGCAGAACCAGCAAACAGTACCTGGGGGATGGTGTTCATCCTGTTATATCTCTGGACCAGCTCATCCTTGGATGGCATTCTGTGCTGTCCTTTGCCCATTCCTGTCACAGAACAACAAACTCAGTTAATTCGTCCATTTCTTAAATATTTGTGGAAGTACTTACTATATGTCAGATACCAACTACAGATACTTGGTGGTACAGTAGTGAATAAACAAGTGATTACCCTCACAGAATTTAGCCTGGTGGAGATTGCAGGCAAGGTGTAAGTAATTACAATAGAGTACGGTGACGATTGTGATGGTGAGCCTGTAAGCACCATGTGAACCAGGGAAGGGGAACTAACTTAGGCCAGAGATCTGAAGATGTCCTGGTCCAGTAAGACTGAGAACCTCAGAATTAGGAAGAGTTAGTATAATAGAATATGGAAAGCATAAAGACAGATAGACCCACAGGACTTAATTTGCATACAGTATAATGAATGGCAAAAAATGATGTAAAAGATATAAACCAGGCTGCTAAGGCAACTGAACTTGATCCTCCAGGAACTCCAGGGAACCACTGAGGTTCTAACGAGACACTCGAGTCAGGAAAGAAGGGCCCAGCAATGTAGGACACCAATACCTCAGCATCAAAGGTATTTCTCCATAAGACACAAGTATGGAGAAAGCTTTAAAGTTACCCAAAAGATTGACCACCCAGGATAGAAGGAGAAAGCAGAGCCCTTCCATATTGATTCTCCACAGATATTCACATTGAAGAATCTTACCTTTAGAAAAAAAAAATGCCAACTCCCTCTCATTTCTACATTATCTCAGAGAATAAATTCTCTACCACCCCCCCCCCGGGGCGCCGCGGGGGGGGGGGGGCCCGGGGGGGGGGAGTGTTTTTGAGATATGTTCTCTGTTTAACAGTCCTGGCTGTCCTGGAAATCACTTTGTAGACCAGGCTGGCCTCAAACTCACAGAGATCCTCCTGCCTCTGCCTCCCGAGTGCTGGGATTAAAGGTGTGCACCACCACCACCTGACTCCTCTTCTACTTTTAGCAGTTATAGGAGAGGCCTTGTTTGTAAAGACTTGTTGAAATAGGATTTTT